TGTAAAGCTTCAATATTTTCAGAGATTTTTATTAAAGCATTTATACAAATAAAAAAAAATAATTTAAATTCATATTGTGGAACATTTCAATTTTATCATTTTTACAAATTACCTTCTTGCTACGTAACGACATAATTCCTGACATACCAATAATTAGACAATTTCCATTATTTTCTAAAAATTTTAAACTTTGTATTAATAACAAAAGAAGAATATTTTTTATTGCATATGAACATCATTACACAGCTTTCATATCACTTTCTAAAATTCCTAAATCACGCCATATTCTGTGTAGGCATACTAAATTCTACGCATTAATAAATAAAAAAATCAACAGTAGATTTATAATTAAAAAAATCTTGCGCAGAACATTATAAACCTACCATTTCAACTCAGTTAAAATATAATTTAAGTTTTCTTTTAACTACGAAGCTATAGCATACTTATAACTTGTTTTTAAGAAGAGGCGTAACCAATATTACGTCATAAAAAGGCGTGTCCAAGCATAAGAGAAGTAAACACAGCATCGACTGATGCCTATTCTGCGATTAAGTCGGCTTAAATATTAATAGAAAATTACAACATCACTTACTTCGAGTCGCAATACTTCTGAAATTAGTGACCCGAAATTTTTAAATGAGTCGATGTTAGGAACGATACAGAAAATACAAAGTATAACTTTTTGAGTCGCTACCTAAAGCACGAACTCCACGTAGTCAAACATTAGGAATTAATAAATGCAATGAAAGTGTAATTAATAACACGCTCGGTATCTTATGGTGTGATACTGAATTTTATGAATTTCATCCTTTTACTAAAACTATCATTGCACAAAACTGAAGATCTTTTGCTTGGAAAGAAACTATTAACAAAAAATACTTGCTTTAAAAGATTAACAATTACGTATTGAATAAATCATATTCCATATAAGCATCTATTACCTTCTTATATCAATGATTGTCACAATACATTCGTTTTTTCCTTTTCCTTCATGATTTATATCATTTATCAATTTCAAAGAGAAGCAGGTTAGTGTAAAATACAAAATTAAGCAAAAACACCAATCACGGTTTATTGTAGGTTTCGAAAAACAAATATTTCATGTATTTTTATCTAAAATCCCGAAAACATTAAGTTGATGTTTTGACTAATTTTAAATTATTTCTTTTAATAACGGAGTCTAAACGAAAACAAATGTTTCCTCAGTATCCTCTTTATTCATAAAAGAAAGGTTTCTTCGAAACCTGAATGATTTTGTGACGTATTTTAAATATAAAATGTTTGTTTCACAAAGTGTAGTGCAATTAGCGAGTATTTATTAGCAACTATTAATGGAAACATATTATTAAACATAAACTTATATCATAAATATTATAAAGGAATTTGCGGGTTGACATTTGAAAATGTCAGTTACATACTTCGCGCTAAATCTGTAGATAAAGGTATGGGATGTTTTGTAATACTCGTATGCAAAATTAAGATAATTTGCAAATTATGATTACTTTTATGAAAAGTATTAAACCAAAGGTAGTAATTATGCAGCCGAAGAATTATTCAAATATTCAAAGTCGAATACCTAAGCGTACACGTGTCTGTCTGAGGAACTGTGATTGTGGAGGGAATATAAACGTAACAGTGTTTTCGGCTTTTGTGGGCTCACGACATCCACGGCGTTTCTCCCTTGTCTATCTCAGTGACATGTTTCTTCGCATTATATACCGTGGCACTTGAATTATAAATCGCTGTTATAAAAAATACACTGAGGGTTTTCAGTTTGCTTTCACATCGAGACCAGTACGCAAACTGTAATGCTTACTTTAATGCTTTCTTGTACATGTAATTTGATATGCCGCAAATCTAGTCTCAGAAGGGTCGATTATCATTAATATCAAAGCTCGTATTTTTATGACTGAATTTGTTTATGAATCCCAAATGCAAAAATGTAAAAAAAAAACAAAAAAAAAACGCAGACTTTTTTTTTTCCCACAGAGATTTAATAGGTATGTAGACAAACAAAAACATATGATATAAATAGATATTTTTTGTTGTTTAGATAGATGTTTTAGTTTGAGACTCCTTCCCCTATAGTGGCGCCAGGTTTGGTACAGATAGTTTATGAAATTAATTTTCTAGACGTATGACTTCTTGGAGACGATTGCTCTTCAGCCATTCGAATCATCATCACCCTCCCAAAAAAGAAAACTTGAATTATGCCATGAAAATGTGTGCGTTTGGGCATGTTAAACTGCTAACAGACAAACTACAGGTCCCTCCATCACATTGTTAAATGCAGCTTTTCGAAGAATCTTACTTTTCTGAGAATTAAACGAAAATAGTCCTCATAATCATTTCTTCGTCCTGATTGATTGACGCAGGTTTTCCCAGTCTTTTTGTACCTTAGAATATCGGTGGGGTCGCGGGTAAACTTATTCAAGATAAGTTTATAGGTTGACTAATTAATAATATGCATAATATCCAAAAATTTATACCAAAAATACAAGATATATATATTAAAATATAAGATAAAAAATTATAAAAATATTCCAAGATATAAATATTATTAATGGTATTCTTATATAAATTAAATAATTAGGAGAGTATTATAATCATCTTGCTCGCAAGCAATCAGCAAGTTGTTCAACTGTATGCCAAAATCAATACTTTGAATTTATGATATTCGATGTTGAAAATAATAATATTTGACATCTTTTAAAATTTTTAACTAATAATTTGGTCAAAATGACAAATTGCACGTCACATCAGGGCTAATTCCGATAAAATCGGGATATATGGCAAGCACATTTAAAATTATAAACGTACGATTATATAAAAAATTACTTATCATTTTAATGAAAATTTAAATAAGTTTTTATCATAGTTGCACAGCAGCGGGCATCCGCAAAACCGTTGGCGGGCACAGTGATGCTCGCCGGCATAGGTTTGGGGACCCCTGTATTAACGTATGTAAAATACAAAGTCAGAGGAAGCTTATTATTTTTGTCGTAAAGTAATGCGGCTAGAAGAAACATGCAGTTTAAATTAATTCTCAAAATGCGTGCCTAGAAAATGGTGTCTATGGTGTTTATAACTGTGATACCAGCTTTAATGTATCTATGTTACGGTGAAACACCGAAATCAGGAGAATGTCGACTTTCACCGGTGAATGTCAACATTCACATAGTCTCTTGGTGTATGTCCGAAATATTTTCCAAATACTCTTATTTCTGACTTAACACTGGTCAATGTCGACATTCACCACTACTAATGGTGAATGTTGAACTAATGGTGAATGTTGTACTAATGGTGAATGTTGAACATATATAACAATATTATATTTTTTTCTAATTTCTTCTTTCGTAATTCAGTCGCGAATAAACGCACTTGAGACTTGAAATAAGAACATGAGAACCTAAAACACGCAATACATTCAAAATGAGAAAGGAAAATAATACTGTAAAGTTAAAAACTTACTTAATTATACAGTACGTTCTAAATGAGAAAATAAAATAACAGTAATAAAAAACTTATTAAATTATGTGATTCAAATCTTATTTATTGCAACAACTTAAACTATTATGGAACTTTATGACCTCTCCTTTCGACTTTCAACAGAGCATATCTGTGATTGTCGACATACACCGGTGAGGGTCCGAATATACAAGAATGTAGTGAAATATTTGGTCTTTCACCGACGTATTTGGGGAATGTTGATATTCTCCCGTGAAAGTCGACATTCTCCAATTTCGGTCTTTCACGGTTACATCTACAAGTGAAGTGCAACGACTAGTATTCGTTTTTTATCAACTAAATGAAATATTTTGACAGAAATTAGTATGCATTTGGTTTATGGGCTTTTACCTGTTTAGTTCCCAGTAAAGTGAGAAGAAGCCCAAGAGGAAAGTTTTATCGATGGCTTGCAAGCGGCCATACACGCAGAAAACGAAACTTAAAGAAGGCCTGTAATGACGAGAGGTATCACGATAGAAGAAATGTTTTCAGTGACTCAGTTTTTATATTTTCAAACTAATATATATATTAGTTTTATTGTGCATGTGTTTTATTTCTGAGTCCACTAATATCTTCACCAAAGAAGTCATGTGCATCACTTTTAAATTTCAGAAGCTTTCGTTATTTATGAAAATCAAAACATACTATTGCACATTCACAATGGGATGAAGAACGGAAAACATTCTTGCATTGTATAAAAAAATGCACATATCCTGTTCTCATGGTGTATGTGGTTAACACATTAGTAAAGTAAAAGGCTACGTGGTTTGAATTATAAAGAGGCCACGGTTGAATTTTCACGTTTCCCGTAACGTAAAGCCTGATATGATTTATATATGATTAACGTAAAGCCTGATATACATCTGATAAATATCTATAAAATGTGTTAGTTAAATTTATTTAACATCATTACTTAAACTACAGGCACCTAATTTATAATTTTGTTATCGAAAATACACAAAACATAATAAAGTATTTTTACCTTTTTATATTGCAGTTATAAATATCTAACGGAAATATAGTGAATTATATCTATCTTGATATTAATATCTTTAATAAAGTAAATTATTAAAAATTATGCTATATCATTTAACGTGCTTTTAATTAAAGTACTTTCAATTATGTATTTAATATGATGTGTGACCTATTATGTTTATTTAAATTATCGAAATTTGCAAATATTAATAAGAAACAGCTTTAGTTACTAAATATGGCGAAGGATAATGATTTTGCCAAGCACGTAACAAACTATAAATGAAACGTAGAAAAGTAATAAGGGAAAATGTGTAAAAATTAGTAACTTTCTTCCTTCGTGTATAAATAAACGAACCTAGCTCGCACCTTAAACTAATAAAAGCATGGGTACAGGAAAGAGATAAAATTTATATTCTTCAGCTCCCAAACCCAAATTGTTAGAGCTACGCTTTCGCAAATTAAGCAGATTTATAACGAGCCACCTCTAATCCCTTTACACTTTTTTTCCTTTTTTTCAGTATGGCATCAAAAAAAAGGAAGAAGTTCAGCAGGAAGATCCCTTTGCTGATATGGAGGGAAGTAGTCTCAACCGGAAACGGAAGACACCAGCCGAATTGGCCGCAGAAGCGGAAGCGGAAGAACAAGATGAATTCACAAGTGAGAGAATCACAGTTTTTTTATCTCCTACGCCCTTTTAACTTTGTAACACTCGTTCGCGAGTCAAGCTAATTAAATTTCCCAATCAAGCGGTAACGAGAAGCGAGAAAGGAATATGGCGGGATTAATGTGGTAGGAAAATAACAAATAATGTAACGTGAAACAAACTCAAAAAAGTCTCTCTCTTTCTTTCTGAAGATAAAATTTAAAAGGAACGACGATAATTTTAAACACGTACTTCTTTAAACAAAGGTAATTTGATTTGCTAGATTTATTCCAAATTTTAAATTGCGTTATAGGAATATTAGAACGAAGCAAATTTTACCAAATGAAAACTATTTTTTCCTTCTTTTATACTTCTAATTAGTAAATCTTTTGGGACGTTGTATAACTGTAAACTAACGAGATATATTGGATTAAAAAGGATAAATTTGTTAGTAAAAATAGTAAATATAGTTTGCAAAAATAGTTTCTTTTTTCTTTCTTGAAACAGTTTAAGTTTCATGAATTTGATGCGATTAATTTTTTTAATATGCTTATTTGTTTATTATTCATTTATTTGCTTTTGCTTGCTGTCTGCATAAAGTGACGAATACTCCGCCGCCCAGCTTTTTTCGTAAATGAAGCAATTCCTCGTAAATGAAGCGCGCAAATGAAGGCTACTGTGTTTACACCTTGACAGCTATGCGAGTGTTAGCAATACGCCAGCTCTGGAATTTTTTTGCCAGCGTTTTGTTGATTCATGGTTCAGGCAGTCTTAATGTTAATTGGTATTGATGTTGTATGGTCTACATTTAGCTTAATCAGTGCTGTGATACTCATACTTGCCTTTAATATCTGATTGTTATAGTGCTGACTTTGTCTAATACAATTAAGGTGTTTTTAAACGGTACATATTTTAATTGGGAGCAAAATATTTTATGATTACCAGCGCATTTGTTTTTAAGTTCTCTCAACAACTACCATCTCAAATGAAATGGAGAAAATAAGTGTTCTGCGGTGACGCCGACACGTGTCTTAATTACAAATTTGGAGGGCGGCTGACTGAAAATAGGCCCTTTAGGGAAGGAAACTGGTCATAGTGAACCAGTACTTCATTTATTAAGGCAGAATATTCAAGCAGCTAAAAATTTTATGTGAGAAACCTGTAGGCAAAAATTACCGTTTGTAGAGTCTTTAGGTATATAAAAGTGAGAAATCTTGAATAATCAACTGTGATCTTGCCAGCAAGTTACCCTGAGGTTTCTCAATTGACAGCTGTACATGCTGGCATAATGTATGAGTTGGAAAGAACGTCTTAATTTCTTTGCAAATGCATTCTAAGTTAACAAACACTGGCTGCGCATGCCGTTGCTCATTGCATGACTGTTCCGCTTAAACTCGGAATTTGTGGTTTGTTTTGGTTTGCTTTAATTAATTATGGAGAACCACTCAACGGTTGTCTATCTAAGGAAAAGAATGCCTTCGTGGAGGACCTTTTAATAGAAAATTGCTCCTTTACACGTTATACTTGAGGTGCAGCTAGCCTGTTCGTTGGGATTATTTCTAGATCCGAAAACCATCTCCAGAAGGCGGTGGAAGGAAAGAATAGTACGAGAAGCTTGGATCAAATTCTCTGATTAGTTTCTCGTTTAAAAAGAGATTATAAAACACCCCGAGTGTAAATTGCCTAAACTAAAGCGTTCAATCCAATTTCAACGAAGATACCTTTTTGGAGAACATGCAGTTATACTTCGATCAGAAATGAAAAGTTACGAGAATGCAGTAAGAGGTCATTTTAAATCACACCGCTGTACCTTGAAAAATTTTAAATTACTCAGGTAAAAATTATTCAATATTCAAAAACGTGGAGCATATGCAATTTGTGTGCATTTCTTGTAATTTTTTTTATTATTACAATGTAGGCTAACTAGAATCCTATTATTTAGCCATATGTTTTGAATGCATATGAACGCATTCCTTCAATTCTCAGAGAAGATGCAAGAAAGTTCTGTTTACTTTGCATTGTTTCTATTCTATTCCTTTCGTTCAGAAATTTGTAAGAAAAAGGTGCTCTTGAGATCTTTATCTGTCATCTAAACAGATAATATCATGTCAATATTTAAGTGCTTATATTCAAATTTAAAATACGATTTCATTAAATATTTTTTTACACAGGGAAATGGTTTCATATATTTGTGAATGGAATGTCAGAAATTGATATTCTTAGTTATTTTAAAGCGAAAGAAAGTTTTATATGTTCCATCAATGTCGGAGCTATATCCTTAATTAAGGTATGAAAGTATAACCTTTTAATTTAGTTATATTAAACTTGCTCTTATTTCAGGGAATTATAATAATTGTACCCCAGATGAGGCTTAATAATTCAAGGATGTTTGGATATGTATAGATAAACAAATAAAGTGTTAGTAAGGTGCAACAATCAGCAGCATTCTTATTTATTCCATTATGCGAAGGACTTTCTAAGATTTACATTTAAACATGAATGAAAGCTGTTAATATCCATCCTTTTGTTTCCGTTTCCGAATAAAGTGCTGAACATTTTGTTCTCATTAAGAAGTTGAAATTGAATAACAAAATACTTTGCTAAAACGTACTTGAGGAATTTTAGCTCAGTTTTATTATAAACAGAGCAGCCTATTGAATAAAACATAATTTTGGATTTATGATTATTATTACGTGTTTGAAAGGAAAAAGAAATCATATTAAAGTCTACAAACTTCAGATTACAACATAGCACCTGGAAGAACTGACTATTAAACTTCAAAACATAAACTGAAATTAATCGAAAACATTATAGAATAGATTTTAAAATAGTAAAACAAATATACAATTATTATATAATCTTCATATAGAAATTTCACTTTAATATCCGAAATAAATAAGTTTACGGTAAAAATCACAACAGGTCTTTAAGTTGTAAAATAAATCCCCCCAAACACCAGATATATAACAAAAAATCACTTTTAAAAAATGTTTAACTACTGAAATAATTTAAACTAAACAATCGCAATAGAAGCTTAAAGCTTAAAGCTTATTAGCTTAAAAATAACCTCACAGGAAATCAAGATATCGAACATAAAATTATATACTTAAAACGAACTGTTCAAAATAGATATGTCAGGTAGCAAAAATGCAATCCTGCTATATTCTATCACAAACTGGCATCATGTTGTGTCTTATATTTAATAAAGAAAAGGCTTTAAATGAAGCTACTTATTCTTCGTTTGCACCCGAATCTTGCAAAGATACCTCTCAAGTTGCAATTAATTATTTTTGCTAAGATGCCAAATCTTTGGATTGGAAGCAGTAAGTATTTCGAAAATAATTCCTTAAAAATGTTGAAGGAATCGAATGTTAACCATTTTATATAAGTTAATAATTAATCCAAGAGCTTCATTATATACCTTTTTTCATTGTGTTGTCTGCTATACTGCAGAATATTTAGCAAGAATGTTGAACCCTTAGAAATTATTTCAAATACAAATTGAAGTACATTATAGGTGATACAATCATGTAATTTTTTTCAACCTATTCTATTATAACGTATTTTATGCACTGAAGAAGAGATAGACAGCATTAAGCAAATATCGTGTAAACACGCTGGTGTGAGATATATATGTAGGTATATATAAGTAGAAAGTAGTAAATCTCAAAAACGTGAGGCCTAGTTGGTTGTATATACAAAGAAGCTGAAAATGCTCTATAAGTTATTGCTAAAAGTAACATGAAAAAACTGACAGTTTAAATGCTTTCGATCGAGGACAAATAATAAGCTGCCTAATGCATGAAGTATTAATTTCAGGACTAGTTTGAAAATTAGGGTTTTCTCATTCCACAGTATTAGCTGTTTGATCATAGTATACGGATAGGAGAATTTAAAAAGCTATAATTCAAACTGCAAGGAAGAACCTTGAATTATCGTGATCTTTGAAGAGTTGAATGATCGCGATCTTTGAAGAGTTATCCATATTATTTGTAGCCAGCGACACCAAACTGTAGCTGAGGTGACCACCTCAATGAAGGCGCGATCCAGTCGGGCAATCAGTAGACGGATTGCGCAGCGCTCTTTTCACCGGATGTACTAATTTTCATTGCATTGTCAATGAGGCCAGAGAACACAATGATTAGATTATCGACAACTGGAGCATAGAGTGATAAATCTCTTACTTCGGATTGCATCACGCTGATCATCAGCTAAGAATATGACGCCATTCCCATAAATAGAACCGGCGTGCCCTGCTAGAAGTGTACAAGGTCATGGTAGCTCAGTAATGGTCCAATGTGTATATTTTTAGCTATATTTGAGACCTATGGTACATGTACCAAACACTTCCAACTGCATCTAAAAAGACACTGATCTCCTGGCTGAACACTAATTTCCCTGCATAATTTTCTGTCATCCGTTTGGAAATGGAATGTACCAGCAGGGCAAGTAATACTGGGAAGACGCGTTTGGCTATCAGTCTTGTTTGAGGAACATTCTATAGAATTCTCTTTTCTGAAGTGCCACCGAAAAGCCGGAACGTAAGTTCCATTGAACGTCTTTGGGATACTCTGAAAAACATATCCAAGCAAGTCATCCATACGTCTGTAACTGTTTAGGAAATGCCTAGGAAACATTTGGCTAGCCAATACCTGAGTAACACTATCATAGATGTTTTGAATCCATGCACCTCGTAGAGCAGCCGTTAAGACCAAATGTTCAAATCAAGTATTCCGGTATCAAGTATTCATTAGCACTTCAGTTCCTAATATTATATGATCACTGCATTCTAAAGCATTCTAACTTTCTCACTTTATAGAATTCCTTACTGTAGTTTAAATGAAAAAAAAAAGATATGGTTATTGTTAGTTTGCCTGTTTTGCAATGAGATGGTGTATTGATTGCATACATCTTTATCACACGGGACTGTAATTGCCTGCTTTTCAAGTGTGATGTATTGCTTTAGATCACAGAAATACCATGTATTGTTTCATTAAGAACTAAAAAATTGCTC